AATAGTCATGGCGGCACCGCCGAATACCCCCCCAGCAAACCCGGCGCAGGGCACGCCGGGAGAGAACCCGGATGAGGGGGCTACTGTAGTGCGCGAAGCACGACGGGAACAGCGAGGCCCGGATAAAGAAATCGAGGCTCCGGTTCGAGAACTGTCGGCGGAGGCGCGCGGGTCACGCTGGGATGAGAACCCGGATGTAAAGTCCAAGATGAAGGCACCGCGCCGAGCTTCTCATAGCCTTCTTTCCAAGTCCAGGAAGTTTATTGCTACGCTCGTTCCGGCCTTCTGCTTCAAAGGAAACAGAACCAAAACAAGCACCTCTTCGCCCCGCCCCCTTGCAGGTTCTTGAACTACCGGGTGGGGCCCCGGGGCGCCGCGCAGGCGCGCCAGGGCACAGCCCCGCCCCTCGCTCGGAAGTACGTGGGCTATATTTTCGCCGCCGCCACAACAATTGCTAAGACCAACCAATCGAACCAGCTGCGTGGAGCCTTGACGGCGCCGACGGACCAATCAGAGGCGAGTGCTTGCCCTCCCGTGCCCTCCGTCTCAGATTTCAGTCAAAGTCGGCACCCTGGTTCCCAGCTTTTCTTCCCGTAGGGTCCGTTCTGCTCTTCACTTTTCTTCCCAAAATTCTGACTCGCAGGCCTGAGTACTGCGAAAGGACAGCGTGGTCTACTCTGCGCACGGCAGTAAAACGTCTTCCCTCCAGGGTTCCAACTCGAACGCAGTCAGCCGAACTAACTGGAAAATATCAACACTCCCAGAGCATAGCATTCCCCTGTAGCGTCAGTTCCGGTCCCACCCACCTGCGTATCCCCTTCTAGCAGAGGCGGGCGTCGCTTTACCCAGGCAACAGCCTGAGTTCTGTGGTGATTGGTTAAGAGACGCCGTCACTCAGGTTAGACAGACCAATCTTGGGACGGACACGCACCGTGGGGACTGTCAGTGTTTGGGAAACAGACACGCCTTCTCTAGCACCGTCGCGCTCTCGCCCTCGCGTTGACCTCTCCGCCCCTATGGCTAGTGCGCAGACGCGGCACAGCCTTTTTCTAAAAACTGAGTTTGCTTTGGTCAGAGTGTTTATGAACCAGCCAGCATCTTCCAATGGGGTTGATAAAATTCCTGCTCTTGAGTGGCTGGAGAGCAACTAGCTAATTCTGCTTCTGCCCCTTCTGAGTGATCTTTAGCAAGTCATTTAATACTCACCACGTCCTCAATTTCTCCTTCTCTATAAAACAACAGTAATTCCAATTTGAGAATCAGAGATTAACGCTTGTAAAGGGCCTGGTGCTCTGCCTAGCACATAGTAAGTGTTCAATAAACTAGTCTGCATGACTGCAGTGGAAGGATCCCTGGGCTTTGGAATTAGGAAGACCTCACTTTCAGGCACAGATGGACCATTGCCAACTGTATGACTTTGAACAAGTCATTGTATCTCTTTTGAGATTACCCATGTGTAGAATGGGAATGATAATGTCTGTCCGTACTACCTCAGGAAATAGTTATGGGGCTCCCATGAGCTCATGAGCCAAGAAGGAGTTATGGGAAGTGAAGGCTTACTCCCAGTCTTAGGAGACAAGCCATACAACAGGTTGACTGAAGGACCATCAGAAAGCTTTTCTGAATACAGCCTAACCTGCCTTAAGATGAGGACTCTAAAGCCGGGTTCGGTGGCTCAGCCTGTAATCCCGCGCCTTTGGGAGGCTGAGGTGAGTGGATTGCCTGAGTCCGCGGGTTCGCGACCCGCCTGGGC